GCTGCTCCTACTGTTAAATTTTGAGGAATTTTGCATACTGGTTGTTAAACCCAGTCATCACTGAAAACCAAATGTACACTTGACGATGAAGTAAATTATATTTAAAGCAAAAGTAATAAATACTCGAAACTCATCCCTTCCTAACTTCTCTACTACGTGTTACTACCATCGATGTCTCGAGGTCACGTCCATCTATTGTATCTGTGTGGGAGAGATGTTCTGTAGCGCTGTGCTCCTGGGCATCTCTTCCCGACTCTGCATTCAGTGCCATCATTGGCAGCTTGAAACTGGCCGCAGTGTGAGTGTTAACACTGCGGAAAGGAGACTTGAGGGCTCTGGGAGCCTGGGTGAGGGGTGCAGTCAGGAGAGGCTTCCTGGAGGAGCTGGGATCCCAGCCCGGCTCTGAGGAGTGGGCCAGGAGGAGGAGCTGGCATTGCGGGCAGAGGGAGAATGGATGAAGGCACAGGCCTGCTTATCCCTGTTTTACAGACGGCACAGCTGAGGCCAGTCACTTAGCACAGCTGGACAGGGCTGGAGCCAGGCCTGGAATCCCGGTGTGTCTGGTTCCTGGGCCGGAGGTCTTTGCATGACACTGGCCTGGAGGGCCGCATGTAGGCAGACCCCCAGCAAAGCATGTGGGGCCCCTGCCATGCTGCAAAAATGGCCTCCTCCCTGGGGGCATTCCCTGGGGAGACAGTGCACCCCGGGAGTGGGCTGTCCTGGATGGAGGCTGACCCCCCCCCCAACCCCCCCCCCCCCGCTAAGGCACTGTGCCCTGGGCTTCCTTCCTGCCGGCTCAGGAAGGGGCTGGCCGTGCCTGGCCTTGGTGGACACCTGGGAGCAAGGCCGCCCCTCCTCCTCGGGAGCCGCCAGGGGCCAGAGGAATTGGCCCGAGGTCAGAATGCTGGCTCCAGCCACTGGGTCAGTGCCCCACCATGTCCTGCTGGCTGTGGTGAGCACGTGGGGTGCCACCTGGATGGGGGGTGGCATCTGACTCTGCCATGTGACCCTGAGCGAGTTTATCTGAATGCCCATTTCCCAGCTGCCACGCGCAGGGCCCCTCAGCCCTTCCTACCCTGGAGACGTTGGGGATTCAGCCAGGTGAGGTGCGATGCTTGGGACCACCCAGCTGGAGCCAGGAGGGTGAAGAGACCCCTGTGCCGGGCAGCCTCGCTTGACCCTCCCCCAGCCCTCACTCTGCAGAGGAGGAGACAGGACCAGAGCCCCGGGGGGAGGTCGGGCTGGGCGGAGGGGGTGCTAGCCCCCAGGACTTTCCCTCAGCTGAGTGAGGGTTCCCAAACCCAGCTGCCATCAGCTGCTCCCAGAGGCATGTGACAAATGTAGGCTCCTGGGCCCGGTGCCACTAAGCCTGCCTTGGTAGGTTTCCGGGAGGAGATGGAGCAGATCTGACAAGCACCCCAAGTCATTGTGACAGGCCTATGGGGTTGGGAAGTCAGCTGGGACCCTATGCCACCTCTCCTCCCTCCCTCCTGATCCCTCCCTGCCTTCCCAGCAACGGAGTGGACTCCCGGTGCAGCAGGAATGTGGGACCAGGTGTGGGGAGCATCCCGCATCAGCGGGGTTAAGAACGCTGGCCTGAGAGGGCCCCAGGGGCTGGTCGCAGGCTCTCCCAACCCCGCTCTGAGTGGGCCTCTGCAGACCCCAGCAGAAGCCAAAAAGGAGAGAGCCAGCCTCAGATGGCTTTGAAGGCTTGGCCGTGTCTCCTTCCCCAGGATGGGGCACTGCCGGCCTGCATTCAGGCTGTGGGCACAGATGGCCTGTCTGCGCTCCAGCCCAGCTCCCCGCGGGCCTTCCGGCTGGCCCTCTTCTTGTCTCTGTGTGCGCCTCTCCACCGATCCCCCACGTGCCCCTGGGGTGGAAGTCTCTGAGGTGGGCTGTGGCCGTGGAACCCGGGTTCCTCTGCAGCTTTTCGGACTCAACTCTCAGAGCATCTTGGTCCCAGAGTGACGGACGAGCTGTGGCCCCTCGCGCTCCGCCTGGCTCCCCGGCAGGCCCTTCCCAGCACAAAGGGGAGCCTGGAGGCAGGCCCCCAAGCTGCCGTGTTCCTGCTCCACTGGCTCGGGGAGGCTCCCCAGGCGCTGGGCACGGTCGCCCCCCACCACCACCTTGCTCTCCTCCCCAGCTCAGTGCGCAGTGATCACTGCCCTCTCCTCCCTCCTGCGTATGGCTGCCCAGTGAAGATCCCACCCTGGCTAAACGCGAGGGCCCTGGAGCACGTGACCACTGGTTGCAGGGGGTGCTGGGCGCTGCCCCGCGAGCCTGCTCCACCTCCCCATGGGGATCCCTTCCCACCGCCCGCCGCCACCTTTTCGCGCACCTTCCCGTCGCCTTAGACCTCCCCGTGCTCATTCCCACTAAAGCCTGAGCACTGAGAAACCCGCCTTATTCACATCTGCTCATGTCTACACATCTGTTACCCGCCCCCGGCCCGCTCTGCCAGGGACCTTGTGTCTCTGCCTGTCACAGGCACCCAATCAATATTTGTTGAATAACACTAGAAACGACTTTTCTTGTATCATCGGTTTTTCGAATCTTGATTGTCCCACGGCATTTGGAAAGGTTGTGATTTGGTAACTGGAAGTGGGGTGCTGCGGTCTGAAATGACGATTCTGAATCTCTGTGGCCTGGGTTGTGGATTCCCCAGCACACCAAGAAACCCCAAGTTCAACCCCGTGTAAATGCTTCATTTCTGGCAAGCACCAGGATTCTCTTCTTGTCTGCACGTTCCAGACAGCGGCAGGCCGCTGACGGCCTCTTCCTGGCATAGGCTAGCTTGATGGGGTATGTGTGTGTGTCTGTGTCTGTCTCTGTGTGTGTGTCTGTGTCTCTGTGTGTGTCTGTGTGTCTCTGTGTGTGTCTGTGTGTCTGTGTGTCTCTCTCTGTGTGTCTCTGGCTGTGTCTATGTGTGTGTCTGTGTGTGTCTGTGTGTGTCTTTGTGTGTGTGTGCTGAGGACTCCAGGCCCAGGCTCAATTAGGAGGGACTTTGTGACTCAGCAGAAGCCTGAGGGGTCTCCTGAGTCCCCTCCTGCGGACCATGCCAGCAGCTAGGCTTTAAATCTCAGGGCTGCTGCGACAGATTCGGTGATTTTTGTGAACGACATCAGGAGTGGTGGTTGCCGTTTCGCTGTTCACAGTTTCCCGCATGTCTTCACATCCATTTTCTCTCCTGATCATCACAGCAACCTTCTGTATTAGTAGTTCTGTTTTAAAGTCAAGGAAACCACATTTCATTTTTTGGCAAGAATTATTTTTTTAGTTGTAGAATTCACATAAAATAAAATTCACAATTTTAACCATTTAAAGTATACAATTCAATGGTATTTAGTATATTCACAATATTGTTCAACCACTGCCTCTATCTGGTTCCAGAACATTTTTATTACCCTGAGAAGAGACCTGTGCCCATTAAGCTCCCCATCCCTCCCCCTCCCCCAGCCCCTGGCAACCGCTAATCTGTTTTTGTCCCTCTGGATCTGCCCATTCTGGATGTTTCCTGTAAATGGAGTCACACAATATGTGGCCTTTTGTGTCTGGCGTCTTCCACTTAGCATCACATTCCGGGTTTCATCCACATTGTAGCGTGTGCCAGGACTTCACTACTGTTCACGGCGGGTGATGCTCCAGTGTGCGGATCAGCCGAGTCCTGCTTAGCCATTTGTCCTTTGGTGGACAGTGGGGTTGTTTCCACTTTTTGGCTGTTGTGAATAATGCTGCTATGAGCATGGATATGCACGGATCTGTTTGAGTCCCAGTCTTCAATTCTTCTGGATCTCCCTGGGGCTGGAATTGCTGGGTCGTGTGGTAATTCTGTTAGACTCGTAGAGGAACTGCCAGGCCGTTTTCCACACGGCTGCGTGGAGGTCATACTTTTTAAGTGGGGGCAGAAGGGGGATTTGAACCAGGTCCTCTGGGGCCAGCGCCTGACCCATCCTGCTCAGTCCATTCCCAAACTTCTTCCCTTCTTCCCCTCGGCCCCCAGCCAGAGCCGGGAGGAGAATCTGAGTAGCAGGAAGCCTCGCTCCCCTGGGAAGCTTCTCTGGGAGGGGGGAGTGGTGCCGGCGCCCAACTGAGCTGGGGCTTGAAGGCCGAGGAGGAGCTTCTCAGAGCCTGTTGAGGAAGACAGACGGGAGGGAGACGGGAGCAGACACGGGCAGGGAGAGGCTCGGATCCCGTGGTAGTTCGGGGAGGCTCCGTAGAGGTTGCTCTGACAATCTCCAATCATAATAAACCCGCTGGCCCTGTCTGTTATTCATCCCCCGACTCCAGGAGGGGGGACTAGGGCGACCCCATCACACAGGTGAGGAGACTGAGGTTCCGGGAGGCCGGCTGCTCCCCCGGCGTCCCAGAGGCCCACCCATGGCATTCCTGCCCTTGACCACCTCGCTGTGCAGCCTCCCCACGTGCCCCCAGACGAGGAGCAGGACTGGGAGACCAAAGAACTCGTCGTGATCCCGCAGCCGACACTGGGGAGGACGGAGGATCTGAACCAGGCCAGGGCCCTGCCGGCTTCTTTGCTCACTTTCCACTCCGCAGCCTCCTCGTCTGAGAAATGGGTTGTAATAAGCCAGGCGCCTCCTGCTCTCAAACTGTAGCTACGAAAATTAGGTGAAATAATAGACGTGACCATGTGAGCAAATCGACCGAAACCTCAGACGTTTCCAGGCAGGAGGAAGACCTGGTCCTGGGCATGTTTCTGAGCTCGGTCTGCAATGGGAGACGCGTTTGGAGAAGTCAGGAGTCAGGGCGCTGGCCCCAGCTCTGCCGCGGGTCACCGTGGGACCCCAACAGCATCTCCTTCCTCTGGGCTTGGTTTTGTCTGCTACAAAGCAGGAATGGTGGGGATACAGAGGGGATAGGGGAACTGGAGGGCCCCGGGCACGCTGAGGGGGGCCAGTGCCATCAGTCCTGCCTCTGGCGGCCCAGTGGCGCTTTGCAAAGCTGCTAACTGCTCCCCTCTGGTTTCTCCTTTTTCTTTGAAGAGACACTTGTCACCGGAGGAGTTCCAGGAAGTGTTTGGGATGAGCATGGAAGAATTTGAGCGCCTGGCCCTCTGGAAGAGGAACGACCTCAAGAAGAAAGCCCTGTTGTTTTGACGGCCACCAAGGCTCCTGACCACGCGTGCCAGTGGCAGAGCCACGGGAAACCTGGCGAGAACCACGAAAACCCCTCCTCTTGCACCTGGCTCTGGCTTCTCTGTGTCGACGGGTGGTGGTGGGCACCTGGGGGGCTGCGCTGGGGCTGGGGCGGGAGGAGGCCCCCCAGCGGGGGCAGCCCCTGTTTCTGCCAGTGACCCCCTGCCTAGTTTAGGGCCCAGGCACCTGGCTTTGCACTGCTCCTTCCCCGCTGTTGCTTGGCATCAGGGAGATGCTGCAAAGTAGCCCAGGAGATGGAGGGACGTTTACACAGCCGCAGCCCACCTTCCCGGCCTCCGTGCGGTGCCCCAGCCCCTGCACTGGGCCGTGGGGGCACAGAGGTGACCGAGACCTGAGATTCAAGGAGGCTTGTCACGGACAAGCACCAACACAATCATGGTGGGTGGGCACCTGGCTCCCGGTGTGTGCTCGCCCCTGCCCGCCCACTCAGCCCCAGGAGCTGGCCTGGCACACAGCATCTGGCTCGCAGTGCCCACAGGCCAGGGCAGGGAGAGGGCTGCGCAGAGCGTGGGGGCGCGGTTTCTGCAGCTGTTTGTGACAAGTCTGTTTTTAGGGACGAACGTCACCTTGGCGGGGCCTTCCACCGGGGCCCTCCGTGCACTGCGTCTTTCTTCCAAATCATCCCTTAGATGCCTAAATGATATCTTTAAAGTAACACAAAAGTTTTTATTTTATTAAAAAGTATAGCCTACTTCAGCATAAGACGACATATGTAAAGAGTTTAGTTTTACGGTCCCACGGAAGGGGAGCGCCTCCAGCCTTATTCTCCACCGTTCCGATCTGTGTGGTTTCGGTTCTTGGTGTGTTCCTGATACATAGAACCCCCTGTCTGGTTTTTTTTTTGCTTTTTTTCTTTCTTACCCATCACACAGGTACCCTTAAAGGCAGACCCCCTAAATAACGCTGTTTGTACGTGTGCGTGAAGTGTAGCCACCACTGTTTCCCTGCTGTTATTTTCCATGTCTTGGAGAGAAAACACCCTCCTCTGATGGCCAAAGCCCCAGAAGGAAGGATTTCCACGTCCCCAGCCTGATCCCCAGCATAGCTGTGGGCGTGCCCTCTTTGTGACGTAGCCAGTGGTGTCCCACTTTTCCCACAGTAAGACACAAACACGGCCCGGGAGTGATGCCTGGTGCGTGGTCCTGAGACAGACACCTGGACACTCGGGGAGGGAGGGAGGGGACACCCTGCCCAGCTGCGGAGTCAGCCGAGCGTCCCGCAGCAGGAGGCTGGCCCGGTCCCCGCTGAAAGGCGTCCGTGTCTGTAAGGAGTTGTGGGTTCAAGTAGGGTGCCTGTCACAGAATGTTTATGAAGTGCATTGAGAGGCTTATGAAACACTAAAAAGGTGTTGCCACAGCCTGTTTCCCAGTCTTCTGTGCATCTTCTGTGGAGCTGCATCTTCTCGTGTGTCCTGGATGTTCCCACCCATGAGTCAGTGTTACTCAGCTTTCTTCCAGCCCCGTAAGACGCCGAGTCCCTTCGCACACCCGGCTTCTCACCAGCCCGGCTTGGCCAGGGCGGGGGAGTTTTAGCACCTAATATGCTTCCTTCCATTTAGCGATCTGAGCCTGAGCAACTGGAAACCCGTTTTTCTCATTAGTGCAATGTCATGTCGGATCCCAGGGAAGCCTGGAACAATAAAGGATGATGTATTATGACTTGTGCAAGTACGAAGCCACTTCTTACAAATGCACGTCATTGCTAATGGCCCGGGCTGCCTTCTGCTGGTAGTGCTTGGGGAGGGTGTCTGCTGAGTGGTGGCACTGGGTGTGTGCACAGAGCAGGGGCGATGCCATTGGGGCGGGCTGCAGTGTGGGCGCCGGAACGCCCCAGGACACCCCCTCAGGGGATTTGGACCTCTGCTTGCTCAGAAGCACGTCTCAGCCAGGCCCCAGGTGCCGATGGTAGAGAGGGGCATAAGAGCTGATGCCTACCGCGTCAGGTTGGGGAGATGGACCAGCAAACAGACAGTGACAACAAGACTGACCACTGCCCTCTGCAGAGGGCTGCAAGGAGGCCCCCACTACACCCAGAGGTCAGGTGAGGCTTTCTGAGAAGGTGCTGCCCAAGCTAAGTCTTAACAGATGAGGAGGCCAATGAAGGGAAGGGCGTTCCAGGCCGAGGGAACAGCAGGAGCAGATGCACTGAGGCTGGAGACAGCCTTGCAGGTTCTGGAAACTTCCGTAGTTGTTATGGCTAGAGCACATGGCTGAAGAAGGGAAGAGAATGCAGGCAGGGTGCCCAAGTGGGAGGGCCCAGCAGGACTGTCCTGCTCACAATCAGCCAATGCTGTCCGGGAATTAAATGTTTCATAATCTCTATTTTAGTCAGCTCGGGCAGCTGTAACAGAATACCACAGCCTGTGGGGCTTAAACAACGCGCATTTATTTCTCGTAGTTCTAGAATCTGGAAGTCCAAGATCTAGGTGCTGGCAGGATCGGTTTTGGTGAGAGCCCCCTTCCTGGCTCACAGTTGGCCGCCTCCTCGCGTGTCCTCGCATGGCAGAGAGAGGGATCAGCTCTCTTCTTATCCAGCTCATCTTCTTATGAGGGCACTAATGTCATCATGAAGGCTCCACTGTCCAGACCTAACCACTTCCCAAAGGACCCACCTCCAAACCCATCACAATGGGGATTAGGGCTTCAACATAGGAATTATGGGGGACACAGACACTCAGTCCATAAGAATCTCTAATCTTCTTCCAATCACGTTAATGCCTCTCGTGGACGTTGGGCTTTCCCCCCCCAAAGCCTGTCCACATGTACACAATCTGTCCCATCTTCGTGAATGGCATGACTGTGTACCCAGTTATGCAAGTCAGAAACCGGCAAACGTCTCCCCACATCTCTCCATCTCAGCAGACACCGTCATGGAATTATCCGGACTGGAACACATTCTGAGAGTGGAAGGTGGCACGGTCACCAATGGCCCTGGGACACAGGTGTTCACCTGGCCTGTTCTGGGGGAACCAGATGTGTGGTCACCCTGACCATCCTCCAGGCCACTCTCAGCTGTTCCCACTCTCACCTCTGGACAGGCCACTTCCCACCCGACAGCCAGAGTGACACTTTGAAAACATCAATTAGATCAAGCCATGCTCCCAATGGCCACCTTCTACACGCCCCCCCAACTCCCACTCCACATGGGGTCTGGTGTCTGTCCCATAGGTCGCAGCCACGGGTGTCTTTCTTTGAGTTCCTTGGGCCACAGGCCTCAAGCTCGCATGTGCCCTCCTCCCTCCGGGCGGCCTTTGCTTCTCCTCAAGGCGAGCCCTCTCTCTCTTCTCAGTTCAGCTCAGAAGTTCCCACCTCAGACAGGCTCCTGCTGACTCTAGGAAATTCCCCGCCCATGCCTGGCATTCATCATACCTGCCCCTGTGTCACCACATTCTTCTCTATCTGTTTATTCACTTTTTCCCTCCACCAGACTGTAAACCCAAGAGGGCTGGCAGTTTTATAGTAGTGCTCTGGGACCTGGGAACGTCACTGGAATATTCGATAATGAGACTGGAGCCTGTCGGGTACTGTGCTAACCCCAAAGTTTCTCAAGGCATTAGTGCTTCCAGAGCAGCACAGCCCAAGAGAACTTTCTGCAATGATGGAAATGGTCTATATCCACGCTGTCCAATACAGTAGCCACCAGTGCTTGAAATGTGGCTGGTGTGACTAGGAAAATAAATGCTACCTTTTAATTAAAGTTCAGTAGCCGTGTGTGGCTGGTGCTGCAGATTGGACAGCACAGCTCTAGAAGATTAGGAACTTCTGCCCTCACCTGAGAGGTGGACTCCCATAGGAGGCCCTGGGATCTGTCATTCTGTCTCGACATGAGTGTTCACTTGGTGCCCGGGATGTAGGTTCGACTCAGAGAGCACGTGCTGAGCACCACTGCGCCTGCACCGCCCTGGGTGCTGGAGGTGTGCATGACAGAGTCCCTGTCCTCCAGAGCGCATGTCTGCCCCTGAGCCTCGTTGCCCCAGGTTCTAAGGACCTGCCCACCCCAAGGCCCCAAGCCAAGTCCGGCTCAGTTCTCCATGCCAGCCTCATGTCTGCCAATGGCAACAATCTTCCCGAATCGGCCCCAGCCTGGGATAGACGGGCAGGGAGATGTCAGAGCCTGCAGGCCTTCTCTCTGGACCCTTCTCCCCAGGGTAGCTGTTCATTCTAAGCTGCTTAAATCTCAACTCAAAGCTTCAGAATTCACTGCAGCAAGGGAAAGAGAGCATGGCAAACAACACAACACATCTTAGGGTTAGACCCAGAAGTGACACGTGTCACCTCCAGTCAGGCCCATCAGCCAGAACTGGTCACATGACTCCCCCAGCTGCAAAGTTGTCTGGGAAACAAGGGCACCCATGTGTGTGAGAGGGGAGACCAGCACTACTGATGAGCATTCCTGATTCTGCAGCCAGGGTCCCCAAGGTCTTCCCGTCCCCACCTTCCACCCCCAGTGCCTTCAGTGGCTCCTTCTATGAATTGTCAGGAGGCCCAGCTGTCCTGGTCACCATCCTCTGCAGATGAGCCGCCCGCACTCATCATGCCTGTCTGCCCACCCACCGCGTGGGCCCCCACACCCTCTGAGTAGCCTTGCCATGCTCAGCGCCCCTCCTGAAGGCACTTTACCCACAAGTCACCATGGTCTGCCCATGACCAGCACGGGAGATCCTACTGAGGATGGCCCCTGAGCCACCTGCAGAGTGGACTCCCTGGTGACCCCATGCAACGGCTCTGCCCCTAGAGATACTCTGTTCTGTGTGGAGATGGTCCACCCAATCAGAACTCTCGGAGGCTGGACTTTGAGACACATGAGGAGTGACAGGAAGGTGGACAGAAGGAGGGGGCACTGAGCCAGAGCCGTGAGCCCACAGAGGCCATGGGGTGGAGAGAGGGGAGTCAGTCAGGAGAGGAGGAGGGTAAAGCAGGGAGGGAGACGGGGCTGGAGGAGCAAGTCACAAGCAGGACCTCCCAAGTGACTGGGCCTGTGGACAGTTTGGGGCTGTCGCTAACCCTCCCCACAACACCCCGGGTGCTGAGCCAGTTGAGAACCACCAGGAGACGGATGAGGAACCAGGGACTGTATCAGTTTCCTTGACGCACCGGACCCCAAAACCCAAAATGCAGAGCTTCAGGAACAGCTGAGTTGGAAGATGTTGCTTAGTTGTTTTAGGTGAGAAAAATCTGCAAGGATGGTCCCCCTCCAGCCCACCCCAAATCCGGACCCAGGGGCCAGCAAGGTGAAAACGGGGGGTGCAGTGTGAAGTAGAAGCACCCT